GGTCTCGAACCTGCGGGCTTAGGCAATCCACTCACCTCAGCCTCCCAAAGGTGCAGGATTACAGGCTGAGCCACCGAGCCCGGCTCACTTTTTTTTTTTGAAGACATGGTGCTCTGCTCCGTCACACAGGCCAAGTGCAACGGCGCAGTCATAGCTCACTGCAACCTTGAATTCCTGGGCTCAAGCAATCTACCTGCCGCAGCTTCCAAGTAGCTGAGTCTGCAGGCGCACACCACCAGGTTTGGCCAGCCTTCAACTCCTGTCTTCTGGTATGGTTTCACCCAAGCATATGCTTCTTGAGCACGTTTAATGCACAATTAACATATATTCGTTTATTGTAAATTAACTTTCATTTTCTTTCCCCCTTATTGGGCTAGGTTAGTCATTTTTTTAGGCATAAGAGCTAGTGAATTACGTATGAATTTCACTTCAGGTAGCAAAAGGAATGTTAAATAATATTTGCTATAAGGAGAGACTATAATACTTTATGTGTTCATTTTCTATGGATTTCGTAACAGATGATGGTAAACTTAGTGACTTAAAACAACATATGTTTATTATCTTACAGTTCTGGAGGTCACAAGCCAGAAATGGGGGTTGGGCATGGTGCCTCACACCTGTAATCTCAGCACTTTGGGAGGCCAAGGTGGGAAGAGATGCTAGAGCCAAGGAGTGTGAGACCAGCATGAGCAACATAGCAATGCCTTATCTCTACAAAGAATAAAAATAATAAAAAAAATTGGCTGGGCATGGTGGCAAGTGCCTCTAGTAACAGCTACTTGGGAGGCTGAGGCAGGAGGATCACCTGAGCCCAGGAGGTCAAGACTTCGGTGAGCTGTGATTGGGCCATTGCTCTCAGACCTGGGTGACAGAGTGAGACTTTGACTAAAAAAAAAAAAAAAATCCCCCAAACCAAAAATGAACAAACAAAAAAACAAGACGAGCCAGGAATGAGGTTTACCTGGCTGACATCAGGTTCAGCATAGCTGTACCCCTCGGGATGTTGCGGGAACACAGAGAGGCCATGACACCGAGGCTCTTTTAGGAAGGAGTGGTTTATTATCACCGGTGTGACTCAGCAGGCTAATGCTCCAAGGCCGAGCAACCCAGAGAAAGAGAAAAGGCGTTTTATCTGTTAGTTTAGGTAAGGGAGGGGGTCGAGTTGTATGGCTACACATTTTTTTTTTTTTTTTTTTTTTTTTTAGTTGGAGTCTCACTGTTGCCCAGACTGGAGTGCAGTGTCTGCTCCCGGCCACC